ATTATTGTTGTTATTATTATATTAATAATTATAATAATAATAATAATAATTATTATTATTATTATTATTATGTTATTATTATATTCATAGTATTATTATTATATTATTACTATTATTATATTATTATTATTACATATTATTATTGTTATAATAATAATAATAATTATTATTATTATTATCATGCGGTTCCCCTCGTTGAACCTTCTCTGTAGATGTAGACGTTGAAGCCGTCGTAGCTGGTCGGAGGTCTGGGGGGCAGCCAGCGCAGCTCCAGCAGGATGGGGGGCAGTTTGGTGGGCAGGACGGGGGCTTCGGGGGGGAGACCCATGGCTGAACCGGGCTCGTTGGAGTCCTCGTACTCCGACACCACGGCGTTAACGAACTCCTCCTCCCTGTCTGCAGGAGACGGGTCGGTCGGGTCCAGCCAGTAGCTCTGAGTCTCCGTCGACTCGTTCACGGCGTTGATGCCTGTCAGGTTTTGTGTTGGGCTGAAGGGAACCCGAGTAACAGCTCCCACCACCTCCTCTGAGGTGTTCTCCTCCTCCTGCTGCTCCTCTATCGGCGGGATGTCCCGGGCTTGACGGGAGGCTCGCTGGATCTCCTCGCCCCCCTCAGGAGGAACCACGTCTGGGGTTTCACCCGGCAGCGTCCTCTGGCTCAGGTGCACGATCTTATGGGAAATGTTGAGAGGGGGGTAGGGCACTGGGACCAGAACAGAGGGGGACAGGTGAGACCAGAACAAGACAGGTGAGACCACAAAAAGACAGGTGAGACCACAACAGAGGGGGACAGGTGAGACCACGACAAGACAGGTGAGACCAGAACAGAGGGGGACAGGTGAGACCATGACAAGACAAGTGTGTGATGTCTCAGTGTCTCACCTGTCCTGTGGTGTACAGGTGAGTGTGTGATGTCACTGTGTGTCACCAGGGCCGTCTGGTACACTGTGACCTCAGAGATCAGCTGGAAGGTGATGTTACGGTAACACACGCCAGGTAACCAGTGTTTGAACACCGTCTTCCCTTTGTAGAAATCTACGACGACACAAAACAAAGATCATTCAATGAAACTCTTTAAACTCTTTAATCAGAGAAAGAAGCATAAACACAGTAAAACAGTCCAGAACAAGAGAAAGTACTGTGTTCAACATTTTAATAAAGTAAAAGTACAACAAGTACTAGAACCTGATGATCCTGTGTTACTGTATTATCTTCTTTAGAGTAGAAAGAAGTAAACAAATGGCTCCCAACACAACCCGCTGTCTGGAGCGTTCATTTACAGTTATTTTACGTTTTATTAACACTATTCTGCTTTATTGAACTCTGTTAAACACATAATACAATATATTTGGTATATATATATATATATATATATATGTAATGTTTGCAGGAAAGTTCAGAAAATACACTTTACAAAGATTACATTCAGCTAGTATTTGGTATCTGCTACATTGACCAGTAAACTTCTGGTTTCACAGTAAAAGTCTTCCACTACCTTCACATTAGAGGGCATTTATTGTGAAGGACATACAGGAAGTGATGGGTTAAAAAGCTCAGATAAGTCATTTCTGTTGTTCAACTTTGAGATGAAAAGAAAATGCTAGAATTGACGGAAGGAATCAAGGTTCCATCATGTATAATAGTCAGTGTATAAACATGTAATAACTGGTTAATAACACTCTGTAATGCGCAGAATTAAGTCTTTATGTATTTGTTAACAACTTCAAGTGTTAATAAACTGATAATAAATGATAATAGGGTAAAACACAGCTGTAATAATATTAAATGTCTAAAAACGACATCACAGTGAGTTATAAACCAGAGTTTATATAAATATTATAAGATCATGTTCTTTGAAAAATGAAGATCATTTTAAGGTATAAATTAAGATGTAGTAGACATATGTAGTAGTGTTTATCTATGTATATGTAATATCTATATATAATATGTGTACCTTTGTAAAGCATGGAGCGGCGCTCCGGTCCTTCGGTGAAGCTGATGTTCACTCTGCTGAAGACGTTTCCTGCTGGAGGTTCCATCTGAAACACGACGCCGGTCTCTGGAGACTCTTTATAGTCTGAGATGTGGACTCTGTGGACAGGAAGTGGTTCTGAGGAGACAAAACAACACACTTTAAATACAAATATAAAATATTCACATGTTGATTATGTCAAATGTGCTTCTGGTATAAATGTCAAACGTAGGTTCTCCTCTTGAAAGACATTAAAATCCTAAATAATGTCCGTATTAATAAGCAAACCTATGAAAATATAATGAATTTAGTTTATGAAACAAGGATCATTAATAATAGTGTTTAATAAAAACACTTCAATATAAATCAAGATCCTCAATCATTATATATAATTAATGGGTTTTATCTATTAAATAATAATAATAGGCTTTTTCATGTTATTTGGCCATACTCCTAAAATCTAATCTAAAATATTCAAATAATTAATTACAGAACAGTAAATGGTTAAATTAATGAAGTTTTAGGGTAAAATATTATAAGATTAATTTACATCGTATGTACCAACACAAATATATATATTTTACAAAGAAGATGAACATTGAATGATGAGGTGATCCACTCCGAGGACTCCGGTGTCTTACTGGTGAGCACCGGGATGGTCTTGACGGGTCTGGACCAGGTCTGTCCCAGTTTCACCAGCAGTCCCACCGTGTAGCAGAGACCGTGGAAGGACGTGTTGAACACCAATGGCTCGCTGGTGTTCACGAACTGGACCAGGATCAGTCGAGGCTCTCCGGACAGCTGAGCGGCGAACGCCGTCACGTTGTCCTGGAGGTCCGAACGCTCGAGTCTCGCTACGATCAGACCTTCATCGTTTAGAGACACCTGGAAGGATGTCACGCTCTGAAACGAGAAGTCTTCATTACTAAAACACTCTGAAACAAGAAGAGAGTCTTCATCACTAAAACACTCTGAAACAAGAAGAGACTTCACCACTAAACACTCTGAAACAGGAAGAGAGTCTTCATTACTAAAACACTCTGAAACAAGAAGAGAGTCTTCATCACTAAACACTGAAACAAGAAGAGAGTCTTCATCACTAAAACAGTCTGAAACAAGAAGAGTTTTCATCACTAGATATAAAACACTCTGAAACAAGAAGAGTCTTCATCACTAGCTATAAAACAAGAAGAAACAGGAAGGAAGTTTTCATCAGAAACTATAAAACACTGAAACATAAAGATAATAATAATAAATCAAAGGACGTTGGCTCCATCGTTTAACCCTCAAACCAGTAAATTATAGCAAACATCATAAAAACTTGACGTTCTGAAAGAATCTCAGTTAATGTGGTAGAACTATCAACTTCATATACTACTTTATTGAATAGATATCTATCTACTATCAGAAACACTTTAATAAATAAACTTTCGTTATTATGCAGATGATACTCAGTTATATCTATCGATCAAGATAAACCAACCAGCTCCCTAAACTTCAAGCAGTCTTCAGGACATAACAACCTGGATGAGCTGCAACTTCCTGATGTTAAACTCAGACTAAACTGAAGTTATTCTACTAGAAACCAGTTATCTGATGATATAGTTTCTATAGATGTTATGATCTGCATCCAGCAGCACCGTAAAGAATCTCTGAGTTATCTTTGATCAGGATTCGTCTTTTAACTCACAGATAAAACAATCTTCAAGGACTGACTTGTTTCACATAACATTTAATAAATCAGGCACATCCTGTCTCAAAGAGATGCAGAGAAATTAGTTCATGCTTTTGTTACCTCTAGACTAGATTACTGTGATTCATTATTATCAGGCTGCTCTAATAAGTCTCTTAAATCTCTCCAGTTTCAAATCTCTGACTCCCCCTCTTCCTCCTCCTCTTCTTCCTCCTCTTCTTTTCCCTCAGCCACCTAATTTTCCTTTTTCAAACGCATGAAAACAGAAGAAAAACAAACTAATAAAAACAATATTTCATCACAAGTCTCAGAACTCCCGACCGGGTCTGACTATTACCTGGTAAATAGTCCAGTCTTTTATATTTCCTCTTTATGTTTTTATATCGATCAATAAAAGCGTCTCTGAGAGCATCGATATTAATAACTGGAGATGAGTTCTGCTTCTATCTGATCTCAGATCAGCTGATTTCCTGTCTGATGATATCTGCTGTTTCATTAAATGTGACGGAGAGTCGACTCCTCGCTGACAGGGCGAGCAACAACAACAACACCCGGTTTGGGACATTTAATATTTATCTTATTGTCAACAAAATCCACGATGCGTTCACAAAGTCGGTTCCTCAAGGCTCAGTTATTTTCTTTATTCGTACGCTTCCCTTTGGTCACCAAATAAGTAGATATAATGTAACTTATTATGCAAATGATATGCAATTCTTTCTGGTGTGTCTCGTGTCAACGTAATTTCAGTCAGAGCTACATTAGCATGCTAACATGTTCACAATGACAACGTTGATAATAACGTTTACTACATTCACCACCTTAGCTTAGCTAATGTTAGCACGCTAACACACTCACAATGACAACGTTGATAACAACGTTTACTACATTCACCACCTTAGCTTAGCTAATGTTAGCATGCTAACATGCTCACAATGACAACGTTGATAATAACATTTACTATATTCACCACCTTAACTTAGCTAATGTTAGCATGCTAACATTTTCACAATGACAACGTTAATAATAACGTTTACTACACTCACCACCTTAGCTTAGCTAATGTTAGCATGCTAACATGCTCACAATGACAATGTTGATAATAACGTTTACTACATTCACCACCTTAGCTTAGCTAATGTTAGCACGCTAACATGCTCACAATGACAACACTAATAATAATGTTTACTACATTCACATTAGCTTAGTGTGTTAGCATGCTAACATTAGCTAATTATCCGTAAACACAGAGTCCAGCAGAGGCTGAAGACAATGTAATTCGTTTAAAGTAATAAGATCGCATTCTCATCCAAACAATTAATAATTCATTAACTAATGTATTATAAATATCAGAGATTTGGAGGAATCAAAATTGTGCAATTAATGAACAAAGTGACAAATAAGATGCTTCCAGATGAATTTATGTTTACAAAACAAAAATGTAAAGTCAAAGGAGTTCATTTGTGGAACAGTTTTGAAAAGGAACTAAAAATGTGTACTGAATTACATTTGACATTTAAATATGTATTTATTCAAAAATACGATGATGAGCACTGGTGTATACATAATTCTTTTGTTTGAGACTTTTGGGGAATCTATAATGTTTAAATACTGTCTTTTGTTTCTTTGTATAAATCAGTAAACACATTAATAACAGTGAGCAGCGCTGACGGACAGAGATCTTTCTACATAAACATAACCAGACATCGTCCTCAGAGAGACGACAATAAAAACATCCACGCCGACTCATTCAATTCATGGCTGCTCTGCTGTTGCCATGGCAACAGAGATGAAAGGCCGGGTGGGGGGAGATGCTCAATATGTCCGATTCCGGCATCACCACGGAGACGATGCTGATGTGGTCGTCCGCCCGTAAACCACGTCCACACGATCAGAGACTATTTATAGACGGTCATTGATGAAATAAGACACTTAATCAATATTCATTCAAACAAACTGGAACAACCTGCTTCTATCACTCAACATCGACATTATCGTTATTCAAAAACATCTGTCTTCATCCTTCACCTGTGTCTACGTAGTTTGTCCAAGTCTATCAGAGGTGATTTACAAATAAAGTTTGATTGACTTCATGGCTATTGAAGGCCATGAGTTGTGGTTTAAAGTTCCAGAAAACACTGCGGCGATCGGATGATTTTACATCCATCAACTGTCAGTGACGAAGACGAACATGAACTGAAGTCACATGTGAGGACATTTTTAATGTCTCTGTAGTGTCTCTTGGTGAACGGTTTGTATATTTTAAAAAACAATTACTCCATAATTTTGTGTTTTCCCACAAAAGACAAGCAACAAAAATTAATTTCTGCTCCTTAAATGAATACAGTCTTTTCAAATATAAACTTCCAACTTCACCGTTCACAGCTTCAACAAAACTACTTAGTTTGGTTTAGACAACTAAACTACTCAGTTAGTTTGAGACAACAAAACTACTCATTTAGGTTTAGACAACAAAACTACTTAGTTAGGTTGAGACAACTAAACTACTTAGTTTGGTTGAGACAACTAAACTACTTAGTTTGGTTGAGACAACTAAACTACTTAGTTTGGTTGAGACAACTAAACTACTTAGTTTGGTTGAGACAACTAAACTACTTACTTTGGTTGAGACAACTAAACTACTCAGGTTTAGACAACTAAACTACTCAGTTAGGTTTAGACAACAAAACAACATAGTTAGGTGTAGACAACTAAACAACTTAGTTAGGTGTAGACAACTAAACTATTCAGTTAGGTTTAGATAACAAAACAACTTAGTTGGGTTGAGACAACTAAACTACTTAGTTGGGTTTAGATAACAAAACTACTTAGTTAGGTTGAGGCAACAACACTACTTAGTTAGGTTGAGACAACTAAACAACTTAGTTAGGTGTAGACAACTACACTATTCAGTTAGGTTTAGATAACAAAATTACTTAGTTTGATTTAGACAACTAAACTACTCAGGATTAGAAAAATATGGTGTTTTTTGTTAAAATTCCTACTGAACAAGTCATGTGCCAAATAAATATACGTTGACTTCTGGTTTCACATGAGGAACAATCATCGGTCTACTTCGTTGTTCTCACACAGCCAGCAGCTCTTCACAGCTACAAATAGTAGATGAGAATAAAAACAATGGATTATATTTAATCAGTCGCATGTTTTGTGTGTTAAATCAAAGTAACTAACCATGAATTAGAATATTTCCCTCTGCAATGTAGTACATTACATTACATTACAGTCATTTAGCAGACGCTTTTATCCAAAGCGACTTACAATTCAGATTCTATCACATTTCTACACCGTAGGCACAGCTACGGGAGCAATTTTTGGGGTTAAGTGTCTTGCTCAAGGACACATCGACATGCGACTAGCAGAGCCGGAGCTCGAACCGCCGACCCTCTGATTGAAAGACGGCCCTGCTATCCACTTAGCCACAATCACTTTATAATTGTACAATAGTACAATTATAAAGTAGCATAATGAGAAAATACTCAAATAAAGAATCTTAAAACTTACACTTAAACTAGAAACCAAACAGTGAAAACCAACAAAATCGTCATGAGAAACACACACACACACACACACACACACACACACACACACACACACAGCTCTGTATGAGTGAATGAATGGAGTATTTGACCCTGTGTGAGTGAGTGTGGGGGGGATTGGGGGCCTCAGGCAGCTGCCTACATTATCATGCAAACCTCCAGCTTTTCCTTTTCTTTAGGCGGGGGGGTGGTGCTTTGGGCCTCTGACAGATCCAGCCAGGAGAGGACGGGGACCTCCAGAGTCCATTAGACTATGAATGAGCTCCACTCTGACGGCTAAATGTTCACTTTTCTCCATGAGGTTTGGTGGGACCGACTTCATGTAGGTTTTTCTAAATAAAGAACAGAGCTGTCAATCATCGGCTGCGACGTCTGATGAAATTAATATAACATTTTCTGGAAACAACAAATAAATCACCAAAATCGAGTCACCGGCTTCTGCCAGAGCTTTCTACCACATTTGTTGAAGAACATTTCCCCCCAAAGCAGAGGAAACTTTCACACTTTCTGAAGTAAAGACTGTTCTTTGTGGTGCTGAAACTGATAGCAGTTGTTCTCTAACGTTCCCTCCACCTCATTTTTAAAAGAGAAAACAAGTCCACTTTGTATCTGTGAACCTGTTTTGCCAAAGCAGACAAAGAATGAGCCCAACGAGGTCACCGTGCTGGCATCAGCCAACGTCTCTCAGTCCTGTTTGTGGGGCAGCACTCGAGCAAAATGTTCACGTTTGTCACTGAAGTCTGGAGAGACTCGAGAGGTGTTTGTGTTTCTTTGTCTCTACAACAGATGATTGACAGTTCTCTCCTTCATCTTTAAAACAAGGGCTGAAAACGTCACATTGCTTCTATACAAACAATAAAAAGGTCCACTTATTGTCATCACAAACATCACAGTTTGCTCAGTTATTTTTGTCAAATGAAATAATTAATTTTCACAAAGTGCAACACTAAAGGATGATATTCACTTTTCTCAATGAAGTCTCTTGGAGCTCAACAGGTGTTTGTTTGACAAAGACTCAGTTTCTTTATTTCTTTTCTGTTACCGACACTTATAGGTCAATTGTGACTAAATGATTGAGTAGTAATTAGTTATTGTTTTATTGATAATGAAAATGATTTCTATTTGGGTGCGCTAAACAAACAAATCATTTTGAGGTTGTTTTTCTAAACAACAGCTATTAAAGGGTGTGAAATGTGAAGGCAGTAATCTTCCAAATCCTGCTGTAAACCTCTTAACCACTGCTGGGAGTAAATCAGATGCATAATAGAATATAATATAGTACAACGTCTATTTGAATTAAAGCTTTACGGAGAGTTTAAAACAAAAACTGCTGTGTAACGTAGTTGATAATCCTTACTATTATCAACTACGTATAATTATTACTGTCAGGGTTAATCCTCATATGTTAAAGTGCACCAATAATCTGAGAATACAATCCATGAGGTTCAACAAAAATAATCTGAGGACAAGAAAAACCTACCATGTCACTAACTAAGTTAGTGACAACTTAAGTAGTTCAGTTGTCTCAACCTAACTTAGTAATTTTGTTGTCTGAACCTAACTAAGTAGTTTAATTGTCTCAACCTAACTAAGTAGTGTTGTTGTCTCAACCTAAATAAGTAGTTTAGTTGTCTCAACCTAACTAAGTAGTTTAGTTGTCTAAACCTAACTAAGTTGTAAGCTGCTTCCTGTCTGCTAACGTTATCCTGAGGATAGTTTAAATGTTCTTCTTTACGTTGGTTTATCACCAAGTCTAAATTTAATTTCACGAGTAGCTGTTTTGAGAAACTGAAGTCCGATTTGATTGGTTGTTTATCTGATGACCATGTCACCATCCTGGATTATATCCAACATGCTGATACTTCAAACCTCATTCTCTTCATGCAGATAAATGAAGATATTTTTTCAAACTGTGTAGATCATGAAGTGTCTCCTGTCGTTAACATATTATTATGTTATTAACTCAATGCTCTTATAAATGTATACATGAGGTAACAAATCAACGCCTCCTCAAACAACTGTTCAGATGATTTCATTAGAAAAGTTTCTCCTAATTTTTCATGTTTTCCTCCTAAAGTCCAGCAACACATGTCAATTTCAGCTTGTTACATGAATAGACTTTTCAAAATAAACTTCTGGCTTCACAGGACACAACTCTAGAAAATAAAACCACTTCTTCTACTATTGACCTTTGAAAGCTCTTATTATGATGCTAAGCTTCCAGCTGATTTTTTCTTCTCTCAGAGGACCTCTGTCTCTTTAACAAAGTTTAGTTAGAACGTCTTCTGAACTAAAGAACATCTGTTAGTGACGAGCACGTTATCATTGATCACATGTTTGATGCTACACAGCAACAACAACATGAGTCTCTCTCTACCTGATCTCTACTGAGCATGTGCAGACCAGAACTACACACCTGTAGTTTTGTTTCTGATAACATGGTGACATCTGCAGGAGGAGAGCTGGCTAATGTTAAAGATTTTAATAATAATACCAGAAGATGTCAATAAAGTGAATATTTCTGGGTTTTCCTCAACACTTTGATTCCTTCATTTAAAAACAGATGTCAGATTACATTTTATAATATTGTCAATTCATTGTACTGTGGTACTGTGATACTGTCTGTATGCTGTGGATGTGGAACCATGTTGTTCTTCAGACAGACGAGTGTGTGTCTGTCTCTGTGTGTGTGTGTGTGTGTCTCTGTGTGTCTGTTTGTCTATGTGTGTGTGTCTGTGTCTGTATGTGTGTGTGTGTCTCTGTATGTGTGTGTGTCTCTCTGTGTGTGTCTGTGTCTCTGTGTGTCTGTTTGTCTGTATGTGTGTCTCTGTGTGTGTGTGTGTCTGTATGTCTGTGTGTATGTGTGTGTGTCTGTGTGTGTCAGTGTGTATGTGTGTGTCTGTGTCTCTGTGTGTGTGTCTGTATGTGTGTGTCTGTGTGTCTGTGTGTCTGTATGTGTGTGTCTGTGTGTCTCTGTGTGTCTGTTTGTCTGTATGTGTGTCTGTGTCTCTGTGTGTGTGTGTGTCTGTGTGTCTGTGTGTGTGTGTGT